ACGTCCACCCCGCGCCGCGCCTTCGCCTCGGCCCAGCCCAACTCGCGCGCCTGGCCTCCCTCAGCGCCGCGCCGCGCCTGTTCCCGCGCGCCGCGCCCGACCGCGTCAGGGCGCGCTCGCCGCGTGGCCGCCATGCGCCGGCGACGCATGCCGCGCGGCAGCCCCGGCCTGCCTCGCCCTCCAAGCGCTCGCCTTCATCTACTGCCCCCGCTGCGCTCCCCACTTCACTCTCCCGCGCTGCCTCTCTGCTTCGCCCGCACCGAGCTCTGCTCTCGCGCCGCCATCGCCACCGCAGCCCCGCCGGCAAAATTGGCCACCGGTGATCCACCACTGCCCGCAATCAAGCACGCGTCGCTCCGCCTCGCTCTCCGGCACCTGGTGCTCGCTGCAGTGACACCTTTTGAGCAAGGTATAGCGGCTTGCGCGTGTTCGCCACCATCGATCATGGCGTCGCCGTGATTGGCCTCGCCGTGGAAACGCTTCCTCCTTCCCTTCTCCATCCCATTGTGCTGCATGTTCGGGTTCGTCACCTTCTCGCGAACCCCGCACGCACGCCCGCTTGCTCGAACATGGCCGGCAACGGCCGCTGGCCCGCTGGCAGCGCCCGCACCGCCGTAACACCGGCGTGGCGTGGCGTCTCGCCGCGACTGAGCTGGGCCAAGATGGCCGTGGGCCGAAGCCTCGAGCCAGGCCGCCGCCCTTCCCCTTCGCTCGGTCTGCGCAGGCCGAAAGTGGCCGTGGGCCAGTTGTTCCCACGGGCTGGCCCAGTAGTAATAGGAAAAATACGTTTTCGGTTTTCTTTTATTATTTGGGAAGAGAAATACTTTGGAAAATGTTTATGTACTCATTTTGGCTCTAAATTTGTTGAAACAAATTTTGCTAGATTCCTTGTCACCGGATCTACATGATAAAAATATTGCATGTCATTTTTAAGATACTTTTCTGTAGAGCTTGATTTAATCCTTGATATTGCTGATATCTTGTAAAATGTGTAGTAAAACCTATATGTTTCAGAAAAATATTCTTCCAAGTGTGTTATTCTTCTTGTGTAATGTACTTCCTAGGAAAAATATATACTATGCATGTTCTGTAGAAAAATTATGAGATGTAGTTCAAGTGCCTTTAATGGCTGATTTTTGTTATTTTTGCTAGAGAGCAAAATTTGTATAAAACATGCATGTGATAATTTTTGTACAGTGGTTATTTACTGTTTAGAACCTAGAAAAAATACTAAATCTATTGTTTGACACTTTTCATAATACAAAGTATTTTCATGTTCATAATTATGCCATAGCTTGTTATTTTTGTGTAGGCTAATCCACTTATTTAAATGTCATAAAAATTTAATGGTAGACTACTTAGGGTAGTACTGTGCTATGGTAATTTTCTAAGATTTTTCTAAGCTATAAAAATAGATGTTGCTATTCAAACCTATTATTAATTAGGGTTTAATCAAGTGTTGCTTTATGCATGATTAAGAAATTAGTGAAGTTTTGGTGTATCTTTGAAGCATTTAATGAGATGTGTTGACCTAGCATATTAGTAGTAGAAGAGAATACAGTAGATGACATGTGCTTGTAGTACATGTTCTTGGATGATGTTGACTACCGTGCATTCAAGCATATCCATTGTGCTCATTTCATCCGATGCACCTTTTGCATAAGCACTTACGCACATGCATCATACAGGATCGTAAACCGAGAACCCAGTCGTCATACCCGAGGAGCAGCTCGAGGTGCAGCCGTAGGAAGTGACCGAAGTAGACGAGGAGGACATTGAGGAACTTCCGGAGTGCCCCGATCACCGCCCGAGCTCCTTCGAGAGAGGCAAGCCCCGGAGCATTTTTCTCCCCGGTTTGCAAATTATTAATTAAATGCTTTTACTTTAATTGATGCATTACGTTCAGGAGTTGTTTGCAACCGTTGCTGCATTATACCTTGTCTACCTTTGTTATACTATATCCTTGTTACCCTGGTATCCGCAGTCGAGTCAATGCTTAGCTGGCTTAGACCGGTAGAAGTCGGGTGATTTCCTGTCACCTACGAGCTATAGGTGGTTACCTGGATCTGCTTGGATAACTACGTAGTCATGGTATAACTAAGTGTTAAATGAAGTTGAGACCGGACGGAGACTTACAGAGTTTTGGACTGTAGTGCTTTCCGTCTGTGTCGATTAAGGACCGACCGTTGTTGGGCCTCGAGTCATGTTGAACGCATGCCTTACATTTAGCTGGCCGAATAAAGTACCTTTCGACCACGAAGCTGGGAGATTATTCGGGCCGAGTAGATTGCCCGCAGCGCACTGTGCCGGAGCAGGTGTGGTAGGACACGGGGGCGCGAAGATAAGACCAAAGAGCAGTCGGTCGGCCTCCGGGTACATGTGGTTCCTGGCAAACTCGAGATTCCTGGATAGTTGACTCGGTGACCGATACCTCACTTTAGCGGGTGAGGTTTGTGTAAGGAATAAATCACCAGCTGGTTAGGAATCGATTCGAATCGCCATCGCTCCTGGATAGTGAGCACTTGACTTGAGTTACTTCATCGTAGTAATGTTAATGGAACACTTGGACAATTATAATGAATATGACATTATGGAAGTTGTTGATGATCATGGGTTATCATTAATTGCTTAATCACATGTTTGCTCTAGTATAGGTGCAAATCTAGTCGACAGGTTAATAATAATTAACTTGACAATAATGCTTTTGGAAAGGTTCTTGAAATGCTAAAAATGTCTCTTTTTGCAAATGAGTCAGCTACCCTACTATAAAGCCCTTCATAATCCTTGGTGTCACTTTATTTTCGGTTATGTCGGGTAAGTCTAGCTGAGTACCTTCTCGTACTCAGGGTTTTATTCCCACTTATTGCAGATGGGCAGATGTATTACGGCTACTGTATCAACTGCCTTTATCCTGCGTTGGGTGATGCTTAGGACCATGGGCATGGTCATTCCTTATGTCTCGTCTGATGCTTTTGTTGGAGATGATCATTATCTGGCACTGTATTTGAACTCCGTGTGAGTGTGTGTGGTTTTGAACAAATGGCTTCCGCTACTTCTATTTGAACTCATTTTGTAATAACTATGTTTAAACTCTGATGTATCTGTGATACGAACTTTTATGTAATATGTGATGGTGACCGCTAAACTTATTACGATCTTGGCTGGTATGTGAGTTGGTTTGAAATCCTTCGTGATTTCACGGACTACCGGGTTATATGGGCTTAAGTTTGCTAAATCGTTTGCTCTGGCGGATGATTTTCTTACTTAATTTCGTATAATTGGTCGGTTCTGTTACAGTAGGGGAGAGGCGTCGGGCGCAGGAAATTCTAGTGCTGGCGGCCAGAAAAACACTCGGTTGTGCGTTAGCTTTTCTGATAAAAAGTGTAAATTGTCTCTTCTTAGCTTACCTTTTAATTATACTGGTAAGTTGTGCAAGATTGTTGTGTGAAAATTTAGGCCCCTGAGATAAAAAGCAGCTCCTTTTATACTACGAGGGTGTAATTCTTAGTCCCTGAACGGTGAACCTGATGAATGAAGGACAACACAACAGTATTATGTGACAGCTTCAAAACGTTTGCAGTTTCCTCAAAACTACAGTATCATCCGACAAATAAAGCCGCGTATTAACAGCGCAGGTTTAGTTTGTTCAGGCTTCAGATCAGTAGTTGGATCGGAGCTAACTAACCCAAATCATGCCTCCTCCGATCCGGCGCTAATAATGCTCTTGCTCCTCCCCTGATCACACCCTTTCTCCGCGATGATTCGTTCATTTCCATCACCAGCTGCATATGCATCTCTGCATGTGCTGAACGAACTACCGGTATACCCAGCCAGCCAACTGCTGCTGCATTGCTGAATGCTGAATGCTGGAATTGCTGATGCAGTGGTAGTTCAGTATAGTTTTAGCTCAGCACGAGTGACTAGTCAGTGTGAGTGAGCACCTGCAACCGTTTCAAAATCATTCGTGGTTGTTTCTGCTTGTCGCAAACGGCAAACGTAAATTCAAATGCAAATTTTCCTTGTAAAATTGTGGTGCTGGTACGGTGGGCGATCGACGGTTGAGACGTCGTTGCTGTCTGACAGGCACAGCCCATCGTGATTAACGTCAAAGCACAGGCAAAAGCGCATAATTACGAAACGCCGCTCTCTCCGCTCTCTCCTCTGCTGGCATTGGTAGCCGACACTGCGCGATTCCAACGTCCAACCAAACCGAAAGAATCGGGCGTCACCGATCAGGATTCTTCTACTATTTTCTTATTGATTATCAAACAAAAACCGCGAATAAATCCACAATTAAATAAATAAATCCAGGCAGGTAGCTAGCGTGAAGACAAGCAGGAAGCAGCACCGAAATGATGCAGCAAGATCAATCTGTTTATTTTGCAGGTAGCAATAGCAATAGCAATAAATAAACAAATGAAATGGTTTCACATCAGCATCATCAGCTACAGCCTACAGACATACAGTGAGCTATTTCATTTCTTTCTGCTGCGCGAATTAAAAACGGTTGGTTGCGATCGATCGATCGAGCCAAGCTCTCTGAAAGTTAATTAATCAATTAACCGGAATTATGTATGAGAAGTGGGGCTTGCGATTTTAAATCGTCTTCCTCCTCTGGACCTGATGACCGACGATGGTAATGGTAATGGTAATGTATGCGGTCGCGGCCATGTGGGCAGTGGCCGCCGCTGCCGGTATTCTATTTGGCGTATATATTCCCCCTGTCCATGCGGTGGTTCCCGCATCCACCTCGCCCGCTGCCTCCCATTATTTTCTTCTCCTCTTCGCTGTACATCCATCCATCCGTCCGTCCGTCCGTCGGTCTTCTTCCTTGGCTTCTCCCTCCGATCCCCGCTGCCCGCCCCACCTGCCTTCATATTCGCCGCCCGGCCGACAAGCTGTGGGCTAGCTAGCTAGGTGTGCTTTCTTTCGCGCCATTGCCTCGATCGGCGGCGGCGACGCCCAGGCTTGAGCAGTCGAGCAGGCAGGAGACAGGCAGTATGCTGGGAGCGAGCCCCAAGAGCAGGAAGGGCGCGCCGGTGAAGCTGGGGTCGACGAAGGAGGCGCCGGCGGCGGTGGCGGTCGCCACCGGTGGAGGGAACGGCGGGAAGGTGCCGGCGGAAGAGGTGTGGGAGGTGCGGCCCGGCGGGATGCTGGTGCAGAAGAGGGGCGGCGGCGGCGGGGCGGGCGACGACGAGCCGTCGCCCAACGTGAAGCCGGTGCCCACCATCCGGGTCAAGGTCAAGCACGCCGGCGTCACGCACGAGATCTACATCAGCTCCGAGGCCTCCTTCGGTCAGTCATCGGCTCCGCTCGCTTGCTCGTTTGTCTCGTCCGTTCGTTCGCGCCGGCCGCCGGCCTGACTCTGCTGCTGCTGTGGTGTGCAGGGGAGCTGAAGAAGCTGGTGGCCGCCAAGACGGGGCTGCACCCGGACGACCAGAAGGTGCTGTACAAGGACAAGGAGCGCGACTCCAAGGCGTTCCTGGACATGGCCGGCGTCAAGGACCGCTCCAAGGTCGTCGTCGTGGAGGACCCCGAGGCCCGCGCGCGCCGCCTCATCGAGGAGCGCCGCAACGGACACCTCGAGAAGGCCGCCAGGGCCGTCGCCGCCGTCACCGCCGGGGTCGACAAGCTCGCCCCCAAGGTACATTTAGCCATCCCCATCTATCCATATCCATCCATCCATCCCAAAGATTGCATCTTTTTCCGAGCCCATATCGAGAGCAGAACGAACAGAACAGGGGACTAGGGGAGTTGACCAACCAAACAAGCCGTCGGTGCTGCTCACCTCTGATTCTGAAAAAAAAAATCTGATTGGCGGCTTAGCAGGTGGCGGCGCTGGACGCGTCGGTGCGCAAGGGGGAGAAGGTCGCGGAGAACGACGTGGTGCAGGTGACGGAGCTGCTCATGAACGAGCTGCTCAAGCTCGACGCCGTGGTCGCCGACGGCGACGTCAAGGCGCAGAGGCGGATGCAGGTGAGTGAGAAGCAAGCATTCACTAATCACTAGTAGCAGTGCAGGAGCGCATCAATTCGATTCGCCTTCACACCCCTTTGAATTACAATGCCGCGGCTGACTGAATTCGAATCGATTCCGGCCGCCGTCGCAGGTGAAGCGCGTCCAGAAGTACGTGGAGACGCTGGACGCGGTGGCGGCCAAGAACGCCGCCATCATCCGCAAGTCCGGCGAGAAGGCCGCCGCCAAGCCGGCGCCGCCGCCGCCGCAGCAGCAGCAGCAACCGAGGCACCAGCCGCAGCAGCAGCAGCAACTGAGGCACCACCAGCAGCAGCAGCAGGGGCCGACGCGGTGGGAGATGTTCGATCTGCTGTCGTCGCTGCCGTCCACGTCCTCGGCCTCGTCAACGACCACCGTGAGCTCCACGGCGTCCTCCGGCGCGCCGCCGACGAACCGCCTGGACTGGATGCTCTGACGAGTGAGTGCAACCCGGCACCGGCCACCAGCGCAAAAGCAGCAGCCAGTCAGATGTGGGGAAAAGCGAAAGGCTGATGCGATGCGATGCGATGCAATGCGATGCTTGTGTGCCAAGAATTGCACCCCCTGCCCATCGATGAGGCCATGATTGGGCAGGCAGGGCTACCTAGCTTGGTCACACACTCACACAGCTGCATTGCGCTGCATGGTACCGTACCAGCCAATTCTAGTTCATCAATCATGTGAGAGTATTTCTTTTTCTTCTCCTTTTTTCTTTCTTTTTGAGATTCTTTTTTTTTCTTCTGTTCTTCTTCTTCTTGTTGTTGTTCATGAAACGTTTGAGATTCTTTTGTGTGCATACTATTCAGATAGAGAAAGAGAGAGAGAGAATGAGAGAGTTGGTTAGGGCAAGTGAAGTGTATTCAGATTGGGAATAATTAAGCTAGTCGAGTCAAAGAAAGGGTTGTCTTCCATGTCCAACTGCAGTTGTTGGTGTCTGAACTCTGAAGAAAGGAACAAAGAAAGAAATGTAGTAATGCCTGCGTAGTGCCTACTACACACATTACATACAGTACTACTACTGCCACCAATACATGGATTGTGAGTATTACACTGTTGTTTGAGAGTGATGAGAGATCGATCGATGGTCGGTTGTCTGTCACTCCTCACTGCTGTGGTGGATGCAGATGCAGAGAGTTTTTTTTTTCCTTCTCCTCCTGTATAATGCAGCAATCAAGCAATAAAACAAAAACGTTTTAAATTCCTGTTGCTGTTGCTGAGTTGGTTGGCGCCTATCTGTCAGAGATGATGAACAGTGCCTGGGTTGGTGCGCTGTTGAATTCTTTATGGCGCTGCCACGCCACACCACATTTTTAGGTGCCCCATTTGCATCCATCCACAATTCCAATTCCCAGCTGGTTTGGTTTGCTTGTTGCTCACTTGATAAAAGCAAAGAACCCAAGCAGGAGAGACGGAGGAGAAGACGACGACGACGACGACTCGCCCAACCAACAGCAGTGCAAGTGTGCAACTTGGTCTGCTGATTGATCAGTTGATTAATCGGCGGATTAGCAGGAGCCCGTTGCCGTTGCAGAGGCTGCCAGTGTGGTGTACTGTCAGTGGTGCGCCCGTGTATACAGCAAACCAAACGAGCCAAAACGAACAGGTAGGAGAAGTGGGGGATCATGCTCATGCGTGCCAATGCCCGATGGTGAGATGCGAGATGCCCAGCTCTTCGCTCTCGCGTTGCTGCTGGACGGAGAGCGAGATGCCTCCCGACCGACTAATGCCTATCACCCATGAATCGTTTTGTTTAGATACACCCCCAAATAAAAATGGCACCAATTAGAGAGAGGCACCTATGGTCCATCAACCTGCATAGGATAGTGATTTTGAAAGATAAAACATTCGCAAGTTTTTAGATATATATACTCCCTCTATTTAAAACTATAAGATGTTTTGACTTTTTTTAAATTCATTGTTTTTGATATGTACTTAGATACACAATATGTCTTGAAGATACACAGTATTTCTAGATATATAGTATAATCAATATATCTATAAATATCAAAATTTCTTATAATTTAAAACGGATGAAGTAGAAAAGAAATTTGGGGTATAAACCCAATCAAAATTATTTTGGGCCCAACCAAAGGGGCTGTTTTTGGAGGCGGTTTTTTCAGAAGCAGCTGTTTTTCCGTAGTACATTTTTGAAAGTTGGTTTGACCCTATTTTTGACTTTTGGCTTTCTGCTTTTCGAAATTGGTGGAATAAAAAACTCTTCCATAGTTGTTTCAAGATAGATAAAGATAGAAGGTATATTTTATACTTATTTAACCAAACAGCTTTTAGCTTTTCTATAGCTCACAGCCCACAGCAGCTTTCCCACAGCTCACAGTCTACGGCAGCTTTTTTCCACAGCCACAGCTCAACCAAACACACCCTTTTATCTTTTGCCATGGACCTGCTAATGCTTGTTAGTCTGTCGCCTATATGTGAATCTCGATTATTCAGATACGTCTCCAAAAACAATTTGTCACGAATTAGAGGCAGACACTGGTCCATCAACCTGTGGAGAGGGTAGTGATTTTGATATATAAAACTGTTACAAGTCTTTGGATAAAAAAACAAGTTTGAACGCAGACCTAACCAAATGTATTTTTATCTTTTGTAGCGCAACACTCGTGGCACTTTCTACGCTTTTATATGATCGTGAGTTACCGGTTGCTTTATTTAGACCGTTTTATTCTAGTTTTCCTGCTTTGCATAGCACCTCCATCGGTGCCTTGTGCCTTAGATGTTTGTTTGGCTGTGTCTTCGGTATAGAAAACGATATGCTAATGGCTTCATACATGTCTTTATTATGAAAAAGGCATCGTACATGTATATGTTTTTAGGCTACTTTTTTAAAAATATTTCGTAACAGCATGTGCGAGTAATTTAGGTAAAGCAAAATATTCTCTCCATTCAAAGCTATAAGTTGTTCTTATTTTTTTAGATATATAGTAGTTTTTATTATGTATATTTTTAATGAAAGGCACGAGACAGCGCCAAACTCTATTTATAAAAGAAGAGGAGTTACAAGGATTGCTAGTCAAGCCCAAAAAACGGTGAAAAATTACTCTGCCAAGCAGAGGTGCAAGGCACCTCGCACCTGCCCATGAACCAAGCTTCTGCCTCTCCCTTGATCTTTGTTGAGAAGTGCAATGGTGAAAGTGTTTACACCAAAATTTAGGAAAAAGAACGCTGAAACTCGAAACTTCCAGAATTATGTCATCAAGGAATCGATTAGATGTGAATCGGTATTAGCTGATTTAGATGCGATGTCAGAATCGACTATTTTATAGATGACGTCAGCAGACAGCGTCAATGGGCTATGCTTGAATGGCGCTAGCAAGAAGTGTCGGACTCTACAAATAAGGAAAATTAGGGTCCAAGTTATTATTAAGTTAGGAAGTTTTCTTTTATTCCAAGAATTGTAATGAGTCGTATTTGAGTAGGATTCATATTTAGATTCCGGGTATAAATATTAGACCATGATTATTGTACAAGGGGACGAACACTCAATCAATACAATCTTTTCGGCTTTCGCCATCACATTAGGAGTAGGAGTACTATAGATATCAGCGAGTTCTTCAGCAAACAGGACTGCATCGACTGATCAACCTCCAGCTTGCTTGTGAGTACCGTCACGACTTGTATTGTGCTTATAAAGCTGCATCAGCTGATTGATCTTTTATGAGCTATAATATCAGTTAGTTATTGATCCATATCATTGTTTATAAGGCTGCATCAGCTGATTGATCTCCTATGAATTATAATATAGATCAAAGTTAACGATCTTGTGTTAAATAACTTGTTGTTTAATACAATATCACCGGTTATCGAATCTACTAAGATTAGTAAGATTTTTCTTGTTGATTTTTGGTTGATTCACCAGTTATCGATCTTGTTATAATTAATATTTTATTAATTATAACAAAATCACTCGATTGAGATAGAGATTGATCGGCATCATATCATCTTAATTGGTCGTCCTTTGATCTAGTCACGCTTTAAATCTTATAATTGATGGCTTAATTCCGCTAGATCGGCTGGTTTATCTCTATTCCAATCAAACATAGTATGCATCTAAAGACATGTTTCAATCTTGAATAAATTCACTAGTTAATGAGATCTAATCTAATGACACTACCATAGCTGCATCGATCCGGTCGAACCTCACTGGTAAGACTTTAGATTAGAAATTATTGATTAATGGTCTTGTTCATGATCAAGATATGTACTATGTTTGTTTGCTATGACTGCATCGGCTATTTTAGCCGATTTGTCTATACTCTCACGCATATAACATGTTTTCGTGAATCTGTCAACGTATAGATGGTTTTATAGATTCTTTGGCTTTAGTTTGTTATCATTATCATAGCTGTATCGATCCGATCGAACCTCACTGTTGATGATAATAGATTAGATTCAAACTATTTATAGATTCGTTTATATCAGACAATCGATTTATTCGCATGTTATACTCTTTTCATCAAACTTATCGGCTTGACGCTTTATATCAATCATGTTCCATTTAGCCGATGATGCTTTCTTATATCGCTTCTTTGCTAATTATCAATTCTCTAATCGATCAATGACATCAATCGACCATTTGATCATATATATTAGAATTTTAAGAAAAGATCTTCTGATTTTGTATTTGGGTATATTGTACTTGTTTTTTGTCTAGATTAATCAGTCATCATAAATCTGCCATGATCCATGAGCATCGGTTATTTTGATTCATATCGTTATCATTTAATATTAGCCTATAATCCTTGATTTAAATATCTTTATTTCATGGATACGCCGGATATCGACTATTTAGTCGATAGCCTTATTGAATCAGCTATCTAGCCGTACATTTGGAACTGGCTGGTGCAACACCAACATGTTCCACCTTAAATTACTGATAAGATTTTCTCTCCTTGTCTTGCAGGTCAAATTGACTGGCACGTCGTTGGGTTTTCAGAATCGGCTGGTTTTGTATTGAAGCCAAGCAGATCTCTGGCTTTGTTCCACTCATATCTTCCGGCTTGCTGTGTGTTGATCACATCGCCACATTTTTATGTCAACAGAAAGCTTCCCTGTGCCTAATACTCTTGCATTCCTCTCATTCCACGGTTCCCACACAACAAGCAGGATTAGAGAACGAATTCCTTTCTTGGGGATCCCAGATGTTTCAGTCAACCATATCCACCATTCAAGCACAATGTCGGTGGGAGACCAAGCGTTTGGGCGTACTTGTGGCTCCATTCCGCAACCATCAACCAAATGCGTAGACAACCCTGGATGACTTATAATTTAGAACGGATGGGGTATGAGTTATCTAGGCTACTTTCATGGCGACAGAGGTGGGAAACTTAGGTCCACACTAAAAAGGGTTGCTTTAGAGTATTTTCCATAAGACGATAATTAATACAAACAATTTAGGTTATTTCTAATAGTGGCACA